TGCTGTTCTCCATGCAGCCCCCACCCCTGAAAGCATTTTGTATTTTCGTACACTCAAATTCAATGGAAAAAGCATATAACTTCTGAAATCAAGCTTAGCACATCCCAAATATCAAATATAGAATCTACAGATTTATTACTAATTAATATGTCATCAACACGTTATATATCTTTTCTTAAGTTAGCTCGAAAGCTTAATGTGATATACTATTATCATTTCCGAACCTGAAAGTTAATGAATTCATAGCATTTTGAAGTGGAATCCTAATTTGTTTTCCTTTAAAATGGAAAACCAATAACTTTCCAAGAAGAATAGAATATACCAGTTGAAACTCCACAACTTAAGAGGCAGGCTCTATTTGCTGGGATTGCTGGATCAATTTTAGTTACATGAGCAATGTCAACCACTGTGTACTCAGTAAAACTTGAAACATACACGAAGTGGTATAAGGTTTCTCCATTGATGTCTGTGAACCTGCTTGTCTCATCTCTCATCCAAGGAGAAATACTGAAAGGAAATTTCGTACAGAGGTTGCTTTTCTCGGACAAGCAATCCCTACATTCACCACAATCGGATACAAAAGTTGGGATTACAGTATCTCCTTCAACAACTTCATGTACACCTTCTCCCACACTCTCTACCACCCTTTAGTGAAACAAAATAAAATGATTATAATCTGCTTATATCTGGCAATAACAAATAAATCATAATTAACATGTAATGTATATAAATAAGAAGTCAATCTAATTAGAGTTAAATCACTTTTTTTTTCTTTTTTTAACACACACAAATCGATAGAAATTTACGGGATCATATATATCTACAGTACATGGATAAGAAAGTTTACCCCACTGCTTCATGACCAAGTATTCTGGGGAAAATAGCAGGAGGATCCTTGAGAAAAAAAAATGGTTAGTTAACTTCAATAAGAACACTTGGAGGCATTAAAATCTGGTAAAACGAATAACGTGTAATTAAGATTTCAAACGCAATGAGCTAATGACTCTCTACCTTGAGTTTCCACATGGTAATATCACTATGACAAAGAGAAGTGCATATGATTTTGATTCGAACTTCACGAGGATTTGGTGGTGCCACTATCACCTCCTCTATCACCAGCGGTTCCCCGGCTTTCCTAGCAATAGCAGCTGTCGACAACACAACACAGAACTCCATTAGTTTTATAAGGAAATCAATGAGTTCGACGTATGTGGCATTCAGCGATAAGGCAGTGTTCACTGCTCCAATTTAAAACCAAGAAAATAGAGTTCTGAAACAGAGGTTGACGAACTTACCTCTGCATCGGAGAGGCTTGCCGGCGGTATTGCTGGAGCTTTTTCCGTCCATAATAAACGGTCACCGCTGGTTTTTTCTTCTCTGAGTCGCAAACACAAATGCCGCAGAGTTTGCCGCTTCGAATTATGTTTTATATTGGTTAGAAGTGTCTAGTCTCCATCCGCGGGAATCAACGATGGCTTGATGGCTTTTAGCGTCAACTCATAGCGGGAGCAGCTGCGCGCCTCACAAAAAAAAAAATTAAAAAATCTGTTTTTTCAAAAATAATATATTTTAATTATTTTAAAATAATGTTTTTTTGACTCTTCAAAAATATTTTTTCCACATAATAAATGGTTTTTGTTTTCTTTTAGCAAAATTCTTGAATCAGGACTGCTCATAAGTCTTTGGCACCAGTAAGGATAATACAATTTAGAAAAAAAATATTTTCTAAAAATATACATTAAAAAACTGATAATTATCTTTAAATGAGGTTTTTTTTTTCTTTCTTATATTCAAAGTTTCAGACTATTGGTCCAGTTTAGAGGTGACAGCGAGTCAATGTAGGTTGAGTTCAAGTTCAACCTGTATCGAAAATTTCAGCCTAAACCAACCTATTTATCTTACTTATCTACATGAGTTGATATTTTCAATCCAACTCAATCTTTTAGATAAACGGGTTGTCATTGGGTTGATCTGTTTATATATTTCTCAACCCAACCTACTAAATAAAAGAGTTAAACCTAGGTTAAAACATTTAAAATTAAAAAAATAAATGAAATTACTATACAAGTTAAGTTAGTTCCAAACTTAAATAAAATTTCATAGTATGACAATAATACAATTCCAATTCACAAATACAAATAAATTATTCAAATAACATTAAAAGTTTGTAATTTCGAAATGATTTTATAAAATGACTAATGTTATCGGCGCAAAAAAGAATATAGAATTAAAATTGCATTTTTTTAAAACATAAATAAAAATAAAACATTATAATTTATAAATTTATACTTATATTAATACATAATAATATTTAAATAATTATTAAATTAAATATATATTAAAGTTAAATAGATTGACAGGTTTATTATTTTATCCGGCCCAACCAATTTAATTAAACAGGTTTGATGGGTTGACCCATTTAAGTTAAATGAATTAAAAATCTCAACTCAACCTAATAATTTTGGATTGGGTTCGGATTAGGTTGACGGGTTAGGGCCGGGACTAGTCTAGTTATTTTGTGGATGATATTTTATTTGATATATCTAATTACGTGGTTGAGAATAAACTGATAATTATAAGTAATGTTTGCGTAATATTTTTTTTATATAATAATAATAATAATAATATTTTTATATATTATATAACTATTTAAAACATAAATTATGATATATAGATAAAATTATTATTAACAATTCACTTTCCTTTCTTTTTGACACACGTATTGTTGTATTTTTAATAGGGATTTTTTAATATCCCGAGTCCTGGGATTAGAATGGTATCTAATAAGTTATTTTAGCGGAAGGGCTTCCGCTCAATGTTTTAAAAATCGGTTTGAACCGGCCGGTCAAATCGGTTGGACCGTGAACCGGGAGAGGGAGCGGTTCAACTATCACCGGTTTTACATTGATATCTGAACCGGATTGAACCGGCCGGTTTTTAGAAAAAAACGATTGAACCGGTCAAAATAAATCGGTTGAACCAGTTAAACCGAATAAAAACACATGAAAAAGAATCATTTACATAATAAACTTTGGTGATTTTTTTCAAATCTATTTAGTTTTCTCTAAATAAAAACATGGTAATGTTATAAATTCATTTGATGTGTTTGTATTCATCAAAAACTATATTTTGTTACGGTATTATACTTTATTTTTTCTTTTTGACGTATATAGATTGATATAAAACACTAAAACTTATGGTTATGTGTTATTTTAATGTATTTGGATTTATCTACAACTTATTTTTATGTGTATTTTTAATGTTTGAACTTATAAACATCAAATTCATAATTCCTATATGTATGTATGTGTAGGAAAATAGAAAAAAAAAACATTAAAAATATAGAAATTGGTTCACCCGGCGGTCGAACCGGGAACCGTGACCATACCGGTTCAACTAAAAACCCGGTTTTTAAAACATTGATTCCGCTTGGTATTTGCCGTTCCCAAAAAAATAATAATAATAAATAACTTATTTATTTAGTTTAACCAATTCAATATTCTATACGTATTTCGATGGAGCAAAGTTGTATATAAAATGCTCATGATAACCGATGAATATCGATAGTAGTCGATAAAGTTTTTTAGAAGGGCTAATAGTCAACTAAATTAAACTAAATCTTTTTTTAGTTAACATAACTAGAGATAATTGTCCCTCAAGATAAAGTACTGGGCAATAGGATAGGAAATAGGAAAGTTTCTTTATATCCAATAATTTGACCAATTATGTCTATGATATTTGGGTCCATAGCCAGCTTGATGATAGAGTCCAAAGCCACCGGTACTAAAAAAATGAAAAAGATATTTCCCATATTTGTACATGTCACCATCCGTAGTGTAAACAAGAAATGGAAAGGTTTAGAGCAAAGAAAACACTATAAAATAATTGGAGGAAGTGCCATGTGTAGTTCACATGGCCACATCATTATATGGATAGATTCTTCACTGTTTGGATAAAAAAGAATTGTCTAATTGAACAATTTGGATTTGACTATTTGGTTCGGATATTCGGATTTTTGGATTAGATTTTACTAAAACCGAATTATTATCTTGGATTTCGGATTGGTTTTGGTTTATAAAATAAGAACCGAATAGTCTAAAAAAACCTAATAACAATTTATTATTTATTTATTTTTAATATATCTAGAATTATTTATTAATTTTATAATTTATTTTTTTTCAAAAAAGTTTAAAAATTTTCACCTAATAAACAATTTAATATGTATTTTCTCTCGAAAGTTTTTTATCTATTAAATATTAAATTATAATATACATTCTTAGTAGTTGATTATATATTTTAAATCACAGCTAAATAATTTGTTTTTACTTCTTCAGTAAAAATTGGATAATATTATAATTATATATTGTTTTAAAATGTTATGGCTTTTGAAAACCGATCCAACCGAATTGTAATTGGATTGGATTGGATCGGAATTGAATTTAGTTTGGATATTTCGGATCCATATTTGAAAATCGAAATCAATTTAAATTTACTTAATTGGATCGAATCGAACCGATCCATCCAAACGAACACCCCTATATATGGAGTTGCTTTCATCTAAATTTTTATTGAAGCTTTAGTAGAAAAATATTTTAAGCTCTATATTGATTTGAAACTTATGTATTTTTATATTTCTTTATAATAATGATTTTTAATTACCATTCAAGAGTACTTAATTTTACTTATGACACTAATTGATTAATCTTGGTATATATATATATATATATATATATA